ATGGGATGGAGCCCGGCCCACAGCCAGAAACCTCTACCCTTTCTCCTGGAGTGTCTGGTGGAACCTCTCATGACTGCGACAACCCACTCAGCCAAGCTCCCACCCCGCCTTATTGCCAGCGCTCTTCTGGGACCGTTGGACTAGAGCTGTTCCAAGCAGCTGTGCGTGGTGCGTGTCGCACAATGGAGCATCGCTGGGCCAACGCTCTGACTACTTTGTCTCCAGAGATGGGGACGGGTGCTATAGTGGAGGGCCTTGCTCTGGAGAGAGAGGAGGCACAGCCCCTTTTTGCTCTCTTCAACTCAGCTTGTCCTCCTAGGGTCCCCTCCCAGCAGCCTAGCTGGCACCCAAATTGAGCCCCTCCACGCCTTTGGCCTGGCTCCTGCTAGGTAAATCTGAGTATTCCTCTATCGTGACTTTTTTTTCGAGGGAGGTGGGGTTGAGACAGGGATGCTCTGTGTAGCCATTGATGGCTACCTGGAACTCACTCTGTAGACCAGGTTGGCCTCAAACTCTGAGATCTGCCTGCCTCTGCCTCCCAGTGCTGGGATTAAAGGCATGCGCCACTATGCCCAGCCTGTGTTTGGACTACTGACCTGTGTCTGACCACGGCTGTCTTCCCTGGAGAATGCCACTTTTTCTGCAAAGGTCCTGGTTCCATAGTCTGTTACATCTGATTGCCATCATGACCTTATCTGGCCTGAGTGCTCCTCATGGTTTGACCGTCTCCTGGTGCCTCTGGGGTTCCTGCCTTCTGCTGTACTGCAGTCACTCACCCGTGTGACATCACCATGACTAGGCCTGGTGACTCTTGCGTCTGGCGTAGACCCCAGTCGGATGGTGCAAGGCTAGATGGTCAAGTAGGGGGCCGATCATACCAGGTTACTCCGTGTGGCCAATCACTGACTCCTACGGTCATAGGGAGGACCAGGCACTGGTCTGCCCTTCTCTTGGGTGGGGGCAGCTTCTGGACTGGCTCACTGGGGTTGTTGCTGTATCTCGTTGCTAGGCAGGAGGGCGCTCCACCCAACTGGAGCATGGGACCTAGGTGCCTACTTCTTCCCATGCCCCATCTGAGTGTCCTTCTCGGTCATGGGCCTCCAGGCTCAGCCCCCCAGCACCCCAGAGGGTGCCCTCGGGATGTGGTTCCCCATTGTGCTGAGTTGTCCTCTAAGCCCAGCCCTGTGATCAGGGTGGCACCTTACTTCTGTGAATGTGCCCCGGTCCCCACAGAGTTATGCGGACTCCTTGGCCCCTCTTAAAGAGTCCGGAACCCTCCCTGACGCTCTCAGAAACACAGAAGAAAAAGGAAGGTGAGTGCTTGTGTTGGCTTAGAGCTGCTTGGAGGGCCCCCCTCCCTCTCCCCCTCCCCCCCTCGTGTGGGGTGGCTCTATTTACTCCCAATGTCCCCTGGGAGTCCAGGCTGCTCCTTAGGGAACAGTCTCCTGTCAGGAAAACAAGGATGAGCCAAAGCATGCTCAGGGCCGGGCTGTGGATGCAATTAATGGAGCCAAGTCCCTGGATCCCGGAGGGAGGAAGGATGGGGCCTGGGGAGGATCCCGAGGAGCAGAATGGGGGGTGAAGGTGTGTGTGCATGTGTGTGTTTGTATGTGTGCCTGTGTGTGTGTATGTGTGCTTGTGTATGTGTGCCTGTGTATGTATGTGTGCTTGTGTATGTGTGCCTGTGTGTGTGTATATGTGTGTATGTGTGCCTGTGTGTGTATGTGTGTGTGCCTGTGTGTGTGTGTGTTTGTATGTGTGTGTATGTGTGCCTGTGTGTGTGCCTGTGTGTGTATGTGTGTGCCTGTGTGTGTGTGTGAGTGAGTGTATAAGGTGACAGCAGGATGAGAGTGGAGTGCCCAATGCAGACAAGTCATATCAGAAACGTGACCTGTTTCCATAAAGGCCTAGGGTGGCTGGGTAGGTATTTGAGACCCTTGCAGGTACCTGCATCTCACACACTCATCCATTGACCTGATTCGCTCACAGCACACAGAGTCAGAACCTAACAGGAAACCAGAGAATAGCTTGTCCCCAACCAAAGGTCCCCAAGGCTTGTCAAAGATAACAGGGCTGAGACGCTGGTGGCAGTCTGGGTTTTGGAGTGGGGACTGGCACCTGTGAAGGCTTACACGGTACTGACTAATGTGGCTGTAGTTCTACAGAAACCAGCCGGGTGGCGCGAGTGCTTCCCTGTTCCAGCTGGGACGGCAGAGGCCATGTGTCGAAAGGGGCAGGGCTAGGACTGAACCATGAGAACCAGCTCGCCTCAGCTCTCCACTCAGACCAAAGCCCGCCCAGGACAGACCACGCGTGTCCCTGGGTCTTTTGAGGGATTGTGTCTATGCCCCAGGTGCCTGTGGTCCTAGTGTTGTCCCCTCCTAGATTCCAGACTGCCACTCCCTCTGGCTCCTGAATTCTCCCCTCCACTCCCTCCAGATCTTGGCCTGGGTATATACTTCCTTTGTCAATATGCAACCAGCTTTCCTTTTGGATGTGCCTGGCTCATTTTCAGAAGCAGGAGGCTCTCTTGGCTTTGTTGCCTCTGATTTATGAGCGAACACACACATGCACATGTGCACGCACTTGCGCACACACATACACACACACACACACTCATACACACCTGACATAAACACACACAATATACCCAGGGCCCTTAGAGTCTGTCTGGAGTGGATCACTTGTGTGGCTCACCTGTGTGGGACTCTGGTTTTTGTTTTGTTTGGAGACAGGGTCTCTATATGCACCCCAGGCTGGCCTTTAATTCAGAGATCCATCTGTCTATGCCTCTCCAAGTGCTGGGACTAAAGGCGTGCATGGCCACTCCCGACCTGTGTGACATCTTGAAGGGGGGTCACAGCCTAGGGTGCCTGGTGGAGACAGCTGGTCATTCCATCCACCAGGCAGGCATGGCCAGCTACCTGTGTCCCCTTGGTGCTGCTCTCCTGGCGAGCCTCCCCCCTTAGTGAGGCATCTTCAGGTTCGTATGCCAACCCACAGTCCCGGGGTAGGAAAAGGGCCTGTGCTCGGCCCTCATTTGGCTGTAATGTGCTGTCTCAGTGCCTGTCTGAGGCATCAAGGCACGGATAACCAAGTGCCCTCTGAAGGGTTTTCATACCTTCCTAAGCCCTGGGAGAGTGGAGCACACAGAGCCATGGCTGGGGGAAGGCCCACGTGGACCTTGGGCTCTGTGCTACCTGGGTTGTCTGTGTTGATCTACTGGCACCATCCCCTCGTGTCAGTGGGACCGTGTCTGGATCCTTTACTCTGTGCAGTGGACCAAGAGCTCGGAAGATCAGGCTGCTTTGGAGGCTAGGGTGCTGGGGAAGCCCTGGGTTAGCTCTGTCTTCCAGGGGTGTCCTGGGGAGGCCTAGGCCAGGGCTAAGGATGTCTTGGGTTTCCTGACTTTTCCCAGCCCTGGCAAAATGCAGAGCAGGAGGCCTCTTTATCACTCCCTCCATCTTCCCCCAACAACCCCAACCTGATAGCCAGGCCTATCCCCATAGCTGGAGGGGGTAAGTCACTAAGCTGGTTAAGGCATTGGCCATGTGCCCAGCCCGCTCCTTTTGTAGGGGGACTGTTATGAAGTGAAATGTGGCCCAAGGGTTTCAAGACGGCAACATCAGCTTGTGCCCTGCGCGCTGGCATACGCTTGTGCCCAGTGAGGCTCCTGTAAGGGGCCACCTCACCATCTCCGCCACAAGTCAGGGTCCAGGGCAGGGCACCTGACCTCTGTGGTAACCCAGCCTGGCACACAGGCGGTCTTTGGCTGTGTCTTCTCTGATCACTTCTCCCAGGATGGGGTAGGAGTGCACACCCTCCCCCAGAAGGGACCCCAGTTCCCTGGCGGCCTCTTACCCATGTCCCTAGCTCCACCGCAAGCACGTGCTGGTGCCAGGGAGGGAGGGTGGCCTGGGATAATACCAGAAGGAAGAAGAAACCTCCATCCTTTGTCCCGAGCCCCATCTCAGCTCTCCGTCTAGGCTCCCAGGCATGCTCAGTCTGCCCCTCCCATCCGGTGTGCAGTTTTGCTGGCACTGAGGCCCAGCCAGCGGCTCCGGCCAACGCATTTGGCTCTCAGCGAGCTAAATGTAACCCAGCCCAGCTGTCGCTCCTCCGGCTCCCTCCCGCCCTGCCAGTCCCCTGCACGAGGATGTGCCTGTATTCTTGCCACCCAGCATGGGCCCCTGGGACTGGTGGAGAGGGGCCAAGGTCCCAGGGTCCGGGACAGCTCTTTGCTCAGGCTTTCTCTGCACCTGCGCTCCATGCATGCTGGTCCCTACGGTGCACGGCAAGGCCGGCGTGCGGCAGGTGGCTGGGGGTGGGGGGACGGGGAGGAGAGACAGGGACCCATCAGCCTGGGTGCAGCCAAGGAAGAAGGGACCACAGTTTCCTGGGTCAGCACCATGCTGGGCATGGAGTGGTGCCGCGTCCGATGCACAGCCTGTATCCGAGAATGTGGCGAGGGTGTTGGGATTGATGACACAGAGACCCAAAGGCTCCTTAAGAAGGCTCTCCTATATTCCTATTCTGGCTCCTTATTATATACCCTGACACCAGAGGTGGGGGTGGGTGGTCTGAAGAGGCAGATAGTCTTTGGGAAAGGTCGAGGTCAGGGCGTTCCCGTGGCCAGCCCTTTTCAGGAACTTATTGCCCTGGGCATTGTATTGTTTTTAGTAAATATGTTTTTAGTAAACATTGTCTTACAGCTGCCTACTCCCAGGCCGATGGGGAAGTGGGTCTCTCTGCTCAAGGTCTGGTGTCCCCACAGAGTGGGACCAAAAACTACGAGATGGGAGATCCACTGCCCACACTGCCCTTGCCCCCATAGGGGTATCATGAGCCCATGCCTGACTGGTGCAGGACACTTGAGGTTGCTTCCAGAAAGTTCCATTCTTATGGGCTGGCGGGGGGTGGGGGGTGGGTGAAGTCCCAGCCACTGGGCCCTAGAGGCCAGCGGGTTGGTCTGTCTGATAAGCAACCACTATAACCTTCTCTTCTCTGAGCCTGTTTTATTTAGGCCGGTGACACCAACTAAAAATGCCGCTGCCTTGCCAGCATAGCAGCACAGGACGGTGTTCCGGCCAGTGACGTGTGAGCGGGGGTGGGAAAAGAGACAGGAACCCACTTCCCACCAGCCAAGGCATAGTGGGGAAGAGGGGTCATACACAGGTTCGCCGGCCCAGCATTCCTCGTCTCCGAGGGCAGATCTTCGGGCGAGCTGACTCATCCGGTGGAGCAGCATTGCCATCCGTCCTTCCTCCTTTCGTCCCTCCTTTCCGTTTAGCGATGTATGTGGTGGCTGGAGCGCTAGCCACTCTGTTGGGCCATGGAGGGACACGAGGCTGGAAGACAGCCCTGGCTGAGCAATGGGGCCAGGCAGGGGCCAGGCAGGGCAGCTCGGGCTCCTGTGACATGGGGGAGACAGGCACCTGCTTCTACTTTGCCGTTGAAGCCTTTGTTATTCTGGCCTTCCTTGGAAATGGAGTACTTGCTAACCAACCCTGAGGGGCAGGCAGCCAAGCTGGGCTCAGATGTTTCCTTCGGCAAGGCGGGATGCCACTCTGGTGCCCTGTAAGAAAACTTCAGTCTTCCTAAGCTCTGGGTCTGCCCTGGGCCCTTTGCAGGCAGGCCTTTCTATACACTCTGGTGAGAAGGAAGAAACCATGTTGGCTGTGAACTTTTTTTTCTTTCTCCCCACACCTCTCCCCATGACCTCAAGAAATATCAGATCCTGGCAATTGAGGCCTCCAGACCTCAAGCAGGCAGACTCTGGGGGTGGGGGTGGGGGTGCGGGGCTCCTTGATCGTTTGTCCTGAGTTGTTGGGCCTTCAGCTGATACACTGCACTCTGGGGCACTCAGCCTACTGCTGGGTACGCATCACTCAGAAATGGTCCAGTAGCTGCCTTGGAGCTCAGAGGCGGGGATGTTTGTACAGGGGTCCTTCCACCCCTTCTCCTCCTCGACCTCTGCAAAGCCTGTCACCTGCCACTGGGCAGGTTGATAGGGTAGTTCCACAGGAGAAGCGGGAACGATGTAGGGTCAGCCTGGGGCGACTTGGACTTGCTGCAGTGTGGAGGGGGACTGTGAGGTGAAAGTCATCAGGGGGAAATGCCACTTTTCCTGCTCTCTTTTGGCAGAGTTTAACGGGAGCAAGCTCGTTCGCGTCCCAAAACCATAGGGGGAAAAAAAAAGAATAAGAAGAAGCCCTTTGCTGCTGCTATTGATAACTTGTCTCTTCACGAGGCGGGTTCAACCTAAAAATACCCTCCCTCCCCGACAGGGAAGCTAGTCGTCGTCGCCGTCGCTGTCACGTTGCAGAGGAGACTTGAAAGTTGGCTGGGAAGAAGCAGCCAAGCCACGTGAGCTAGGCCAGGCCTCTGTGGCCAGGCTGCCCACTGGCAGCCCGCTCCGTGTCCCCGCGGAAGGTTCCGTGGTGGCATGCCTGAGGAAGAGGGCTGCAAGTGGGGCCTCTGTCACAGGCCCCGGGAATGTGGGGTGGAGATGGCCTCAGGTTGGCGTCAGCGGCAGGGGCCGGGTGGGGCCACCATGCCGAGGGCACCCAGGTTCCTGGTTGCCCCGCCCTGGCCCAGCTGGCCTACAGACAGGTTGAGATGAGGAGATTGCACTCTGGCAAGGAGGTAAGAGTGAAGTGGGTGAAAGGTGGAGGGTGGAGGGTGGCGGGCAGCCCCGGGGCCCTGGGCAAGCTGCTGCTCTTGAGTCTTAGTCGCCCCCCCCAACCCCCCCCTGTAGAACGGGGAACGCAGCCCTGTCTGGCTGGGACCACCCACAGCACCGCTCTGGTCAAGGGAGGCCTGCGTGAGGGGGGGGTTCGTGAGAGCCACGGGCAAGATGGCCTGCCCACCGGGATGATGTAGGCATCCAGTCAGGGAGCCTCTGCCCTCCATCCTAAGCCCCCCCAGATCCCCAGGATCTATCTTGTTGTGCCCCACCCCTATTAGCACTTGGGATGGGAAGGTACACTTTAGTCACACCATGTGGGGGTGTGACTAAAGTGTACCTTTATAGCTCTCACCCAGGTCCCAGGAGCAGTTCAGGGAGGAGCACAGTTCCCAAGCTGCCCCTTGGGCCAACACTTCTCAGATGCTGAGAGCAGTCAGAGCTGCAGCGACTCAGTGGCCTGGGGACACAGAACCTCATCTTGTGGCCCCTCAGCCATAGATAGCCCCATCAGGGAACTCTTGGCATTGCGTCCAGAGCAGATTCTGGTCTGGGGGCTTGGCCTGGCCAGACTGCTGGCCCGTGAGACATCTCTGGGCCTCGGCACCAGGAGACATGTAACTGGGTTGAGACTCAGTCTGACATCTGTACCGTGGGAGTGAGGACACACGTCTCCTCGGTTGGCTGCTGAAATGGGGGGGGGGCCGGATGGGATGTGTACATCACGGGACACTCAGGCGTCATTGCAGTCACCGCTATCATCTTCACTGTCGTCACTCGACAGGCCCCAGAGCCATTCCTAGAGAACACTGCTGAGGGATTGGCCACTTTGTGAAGTTGGTGAGGGCGCCTCCTCCGAGTTTGTCCCCAAGAGCTCACTCACTGACTTAGGGACACTGACTCACCCAGCCCTGCGCCTGAGGCTGTTGAAAGCGGGCATCAGCCCCTTGGCTCCTGTCTCTTAAAAAGGGGCAGAAAGCCAGGGAGTGGTGGTGCGTACCTCATACCTGTGGTCTCAGCACTTGAGAGGTAAAAGCAAGAGGGTGAGGAGTTCAAGGCTCCCCTCGGCTGCATGAGCTTAGAGACAGATGGTCAGAGTGCCACCCCGGCTCCGGGGACCACCTGAGGTCGACCTGAGGGTAGAGACAGTCCAGCTCAGATGGCAGGTCCCCCAAAGCTCAAAATCAAAAGAAAGGTAGTAAGCTGCCCCCCACCTCCCAGGCCTGTCCTTTGCACAGGGACTGGGTCTTGGAGGCTTAGGTGAAGGTGAGGCTGGCGATGGGTTTGAGGGACTCTGAGCTGGTCTTGGCCAGCCCCCCAGAAAAACTGCAGAGCCTGGTCAGCCTGACTATCTCCGTGGCAACCAGCTAGCCGTCCTTGTCCTGGCTGGGGGGCCAGCTGCCGCACCCTTCCATCAGCCCTCAGCAGGCTGGAGTTGCTTTCTTCAGGGGTAACCATGGCAACGCCTTTGTTTCGGAGGCCTGGCCCGCCTTCCTCTGTCTCTCTCTTTAGGAGCAGAGCGTACAGGGGGCTCTTTTCCAGTCCCAGCACGTCTTCCCGGCGCCACTGACAAGGGGCCACCAGAAAGCCAGGCTGTCCCCGGGGTGGGAGCCAGAGGGGCAGACAGGGTCTCCTCTGCTACAGAGGCCCACGCCCTGGTTCCAGGTTTGCAGAGAGGGCCACGGGGGCAGCCGATGTGTGGGTACCACCTTAATGGAGGAAGAAGTGTGTGTGTGTGTGTGTGTGTGTGTGTGTGTGGCCTTGGGGCAGGATCCTTCAGCAGGTGCTGAAGGTCGTACACACACCACTGATCTAGTGGTCAAGGGATTCAGATCCCCTTTGGCAAAATCTCAGCCTGGCTTAGAAGACCCCATCGGCTAACTCAGGTCACCGGAAAGCCTAGGGCAGACGCCAGGTGCAGCAGGCTCTCCGTGACCTAGGCGGTCTTGCTTCCTCCTTGGCTTCGTTATCTCAAGCAACCAGACACCTAGAGCAGCCCCAGACTCCAATCATTCCCTCACCTCTCTTGCTTCCCGGAAGGTTTGTGGAAGACAACACACATCCGACTGGGTTCCCCCCGCCCCGGTCTGACACTGAGCTGAATCTCCTGCCTAGGACAGGGCCGCATGCCCATCCCTGTGCAGTCCTGTGCCCTGGGAAGTCCTATGCAAGAAAGTAGCCATCTTGCTTCACCGTCACCCCACCGGTCTCAAGCCAGACCCACCATGCAACTGGTATGAGGAGGCCGAGGAGCCCTGGCTGCAGGGGAAACTGGGGGCCCACAGAGGTCAGTTAGCTTTCCTGAGGCCAAACAGATGGCAAGGATGCAAGCTGCAGACGCGTCCCCCAGAAGTGCTGGGCTTGGCCAGAAGCCACCGCAGAACACAGGGGAGCAGGGGCGCTTTGAGGGTGTTAAACAGGATGAACCAGCCAGGGAGGCAGCTGGTGGGGGTAAACCGGCCCCAGGCTCTGTTGAGCAAAGGCCATCGGCGACATTTTACCATTTGTCTAGTCCCCAGCAACCGTCAGAAACCGTCTACGGGGGTCCGCAGTTGAAGGGTGGGGCAAGCCCAGCGCCAGCCGGGCGTCGTCCACGCCCAGCCACCTGACTCACTGTTTGTAAACTAGCCTCTCCCAAGGCCACGCCCCTTCCTCCTTCCACCCCTTCCTCCTCGCTGCAGGATCTGCATAAACCCGCCTCCCCCGGGCGATAATTGGCTGAGCTCGCCGCCACGCCCCCGCCGGTGAGACGGACTCTGAAGGGGCCGACGGAGAAGCCGTCCCGAGAACGTGATCGGCATAGCTCCGCCCCCGACGCGGCCTGCGGGCCGGGCGGTGATTGGCCGGGCGGCGGCTGACGCTCACGGCGCGGGGCGCGGCGAGCGGCGCGGCGGGCTGTGGGTCGGGGAGGCGCGGGCCGCACTTCCGCCTGGGTGTCAGTGGGTTGCGGGCTGAGCGCCGCGGGGCCGGGGGCGGGGCAGGGCGGCCGTGGGGTCGGCGGGCGCTGCTGGGAACCGCGTGCAGGTGAGCGGGCCGCTGCGGGACGGGCGGGCGGGGGAGGACGGGCCTCCGGGGAGGCCGCTGTGCCGCCTAGGCCTCAGCCGTCCCCGGGCGGGCTGGAGAGTCCGGGCGCTAGGCCGCTGCCGGCCGCCGGGAGTGTGTGCGGACGCCCGCGGGCTGGACGAGCCCTCCACCCCCCCCCGTGGGGCTCGCGCGGGGCCCGGCGTTCTCGGCGCGCTCCGGTCGGTAAAGCCGCGCATCCCCGCCCTCGGGGGACTGGCGAGCGGCGGGGGGAGGGAAGAACGCGCGCGCGCGGAACTTGGTGCCCGCGGTGGCCTCACGTCGGAGGTCCTCTCTCTCCTCTCTCTGCACAGAGCCGGAGCGAGCCTTCACGCTGCGTGCCGGGCGGCTGTCGGCGCTGCGCAGAACCGGCCCTCCGCGCCCCGTGGGCCCCGCAGGTAGGTGGAGGTGGCGCCGGGCAGTCCTCCCTAAGGGTCCCGCCTCCTCCTACCGAGACGCTGCGCCCTCGGCCTGGGGCAGCTCGGTCTTGGGAGGAAGGGACAGGCTTTCGGGTGATGATGCCCTTTGGGGCGGCCTCGGCACATGAGAGTGGGGGGGGGTGACTCCACACACTTTGCGGAGACCTGTGTTTCGGGCTCGGCTCCCTGTCGTCGGGACGTATTGAAGGGACAGCTCCCTGAGTGGGGTCTTTCTTCCGGGGCTGGGGAGCTCCTGGTTGCCTCTGCAGAGAGGGCGGCCCTCGTCCCTGACTGCTACCTGTCCCTTCTCCCACCTTCGTTTCTGCTTGTGGCCCCCGGCATCCCCTATGCCAGTAAGAGATCCGTGTGGATCAGTTGTGGGCTGTGGTTCTGACAAGCAACAGGTGTCCCAAGATGTGAGTTCGCCGCTGTGAGTAGGGGGCAGGGACTTCTGGGTGGACACGTTCTCCAGTGCCTCCCATGGTGCTGTGTAAAGGTGACCATGAGGAAATGGGTGGCTGTGTGTCCTCCATAGACTCTACCTTCCTGTTTGCCCCAGGTACGGGCTATTAATAACAGTTCTTATCTCAAGGCGATAATTTTGAGCAATTATTTGCTCTAGGTCATTAGGAGCATGAGTCCCCGCAGCAGTCACTAACATCCTTGTTCCTGAGGAATAGAGAGGTCAGGTAGCTTCACTGCAGATCACAGGACAGTCAATCACAAAGCTGAACATGGCCTTATGCCTGTCAGACAAGTGGTCAGTCTCTGTGCTGCCCCGTTTTTTCACATGTTAAAAACAACAACAAAAAACCCGCTCTATTTCTTGATAGTCTAATTGTCTCATTTCCTTCCTCCAAATCACCTTGTACTCCCTGAATTCTCTTTCAAACGCATGCCTCTGTTTATTGTTTCCTGTGTGTGTGTGTGTGTGTGTGTGTATGATGTTTGTGTGTATGTACCCTTAAATACATAAAAACAACCTTCTCAGTCCATACAGTGTCATTTGTATGTGTGCTATCAAGGCTGATCATTTGGCATTGGGTGCCAGATGGCGTGTTCTTCACATCCATTCTGTTGCTACTTTTGAGGCAGGATCTTAGGTAACACAGGGTAGACTACAACTGTGCCGAGGATAACCTTGAAACTTCTGACCTCTTACTTGCACTGCCCCTGTTCTGGGCTCGTAAGCTCGCACCACAGCCCCTGGCAAGTTCATATTCTTTTAGTTGTTGTTTTTGAGACACGGTCTCACTGTGTAACATTGACTGGCTCTGCCGGGCAGAGGTGGAGGCACACGGCACACGTCTTTAATCCCAGCACTCAGGAGGCAGAGGCAGGCGGATCTCTGTGAGTTCGAGGCCAGCCTGGTCTACAGAGTGAGTGCCAGGACAGTCTCTCGGAAAACCAAAAAACAACAACAAAAAACCAAACAAAACAAAAACATTGGCTGGCCTCCAGCTTGATTTGTAGACCAGGGTAGCCTACTCGAAGATCTGCCTGCCTCTGCCTTTCAATGCTGGGGTTAAAGGTGTGCACCTTCATGCCTAACAATATCAACATGTTTAAAAAAGAATGTGAAGCTAGGCATGATGGTAACACTGTCATTCTGAGAGGCAGGCAAGTGTCTGAGTTTAAGGCCAGCCTGATCTATATATAGTTCTAGGCCAGCAAAGGATACATGGTAAGACCCTATCTCCAAACACAACAAAAATTATTAGCCTGTATTAGCTACATTTTATTAGCATACATTAACTCTACATAATAATGGGTTTCATTGTCATTTTCATACATGTTTCATAATGTTCATCTCCCTTGTTTCCTTCTCTTGCCCACCCCCCCAAGTTTGCCATTTTCTTTTTTACTACAGATTCTTTTTTAAATTGCATTTAAAAATTTATTCTCTGTGTATGTGTCATAGTGTACATGTTGAGGTCAGTGGACAACTTGTGGGAGTTGATTCTTGACTTCTACCTTGTGAATGTCAAGGATCCAACTCAAGCTATCAGGCTTGGCAGTAAGTGCCTTTGCCCATGAGTTCACGATCTTTTTGTGAGGGGCTGATTTGTTGCTTGAGTGCTGGGGTTAAAAGTAAAGCATATGCCACCATGCAGTGTTAAATTCATATTCTTGAGCAGAAGTCCGTACTCACTTTCAATACATACACACACGTTTTTTGGGGGTGGTTATTTTTCAGGCAGGGTCTCTGCATAGGCCTGACTGCCCTGGAACTCAATGTGTTGTAGTCAGATTTTCTTTGGACTGCCAGCTCCCAAATAATAATGAGGAGGCTTATTAATGATGAAATCATGGCCTCAGTTTAGGCTTGTTCCCAACTAGCTCTTAAAACTTAACCTACTTATGTTAATCTATGTTCTGCCACATGGCTCGTTACCTCATACCGTATGTATGAGTTTTTCTGCATCTCTCTGGTGAATATCCCATCTCTCAGATTCTTCTTGAATCCCTCTCTCTCCCCAGAATTCCCACCTATCCTCTCCTGTCTAGCTTTTGGCAATTCAGCTCTTTATTAAAGCAATCAGAAGGTGCCTTAGGTAGGTAAGGTAAAACAGAGACATCCTTCACAGTGTGACCAAATATCCTGCAACTCTATGTAGACCAGTCAGACCTCAAACTCACAGAGATCCACCTGTGTCTGCCTCCTGAATGCTGGGATTAAAGGTGTGCACCGCCATGTCCAACCTAACTTTCTTTTTTGTTTGTTTTGTTTTTTCAAGACTGGGTTTCTCTGTGAAACAGTTCCGGCTGTCCTGGAATTTGCTCTGTAGACCAGGCTAGCCTTGAACTCACAGAGATCCGTCTGCCTCTGCCTCTCAAGTGCTGGGATTAAAAGTGTGTACCACCACCACCCAGCTATTTCTTTTTTTGATTAGTACATTTTTGGTGCATATTATTCTCCCATGCTGCCTAAAATAGAGTTTACTGCATCTTGGGAATTATTTTTCTGATGTTCCTCTGGACAGCCTTGTCTTCCTCATCTTTGTTGTTTAAGTATGGGGACAGATGGCCTTTGAGTGGAAGTTGTGTTGACAGCTCTCTCTGTGGTTGACATGTGTAGGGTGTAGGGGCGAGGCTGTTGGTAGGTTCCAAAGTCCCAGCTGTTCCCTGGCTGTTTGGCAGGAGCAGTTAGTGTTTCCTCTTACCTTCCATGCTTTGCCCGAAAAATGTGTTACTGAGAGAAATGTAGGTAAAGTCTAGCCATATGTATGTGGCGTGCAGTAGGGCACTGTTGGCTGCTCCACCTGCCGGGTGAGAGGGACACGACAGACAGTCTGGGGAGTCCAGAGAAGCTTTGCCGGGCAGATCTGTACTCTGTTTAGAGTGCATTATTGAGGAATAAAGGTCATCGGGTGGGTGTCCTGGGCACTTGAGGGTGTGCTTACTGTGACTTGCTGTGGGCCTCTGTGGTGGCTCTGTGGATGTGAGGCAGTGTCTCCTGGTCATCAGCTGCTTCCATTTGGACGTTGACATTTGATGTACTGGTTAGCACTAACTGGCCAGTGCAGGGTTTAGTCCCAAACCTAGTATAACATTCAGGTTGATTGAAACAGGTCAGTATTTGAACATAACTGTGAGCTGCTTCAGTCATGGCATCAGTGAGATGGCTCAGAGGGTACAAACATTCACCAGACCTGAGTTCATCCCTGCAACCCATGTGAATGTGGGATGACAGAATTGACCCCACAAGACTTTCCTTGGGCTTTTACAAGTGCACTGTTGTGTGTTTGTGCTCCCCCAGAATAAATAGGAAAAAATAAAATACTTCAGAGCTGTAGAGATGGTTTAGTGCTTAAGAGTGCTGATTGCTCTCCTGGAGGACCCAGGCTCAACGCCCAGCACCCACATGGAGGCCCATAACTGTAACTCACACATGTGCTGTTTAGACAAAACACCAATACACATAAGTAAATAAGGTTTAAAAAATACTTCAATCACCTCTAATCCCAACACTTGGGAGGCAGAGGCAGACAGATCTGAGGTAGAGGCTAGCCTGGTCTACAGAGTAAGTTCCAGGATAGCTGAGGCTACATAAACCCTATCTCAAAAACAAAACAACAGACTTCAATCGTAAGCATTAATAGTTCGGGCTCCAGTTTGATAATTGTTTTGTGTCTAGGTTCAGTCCCGAACTGTGTCTGTGATATCTACATTTTGACTTTTAAAATGTTTTGCTAACACGTTTCAACTGCTGGTTCTGTGGCCTCATAAGACTTCAATGCAAACCTGCAGCCCTTGCTTTAAAACATGATCATGTGGCTTACTGATGTGTCGCTCAACCGTTTAAACACTCCATTCTTTCCAAATTCAGAAAAGAAAGTGGGGCGGCTTGGCAGAGCCTGCACACCATGCCTTTCCGTGGGTGCCGTGGTGGTGAGTCTGGAAGGACTGATGCCAGGAGGGTTCCTGTGGACTGCTGGCTTGCCTGTGTGTGACTTTTTCTTTGCTTGTTTTTTTCCTGCCCCCTCCCCCTTAGAATACCTGGCTAATTTTGAGAAACACACTCTGAGCTCTTGATCTGTGCTGAGTAAGTCTAGGTGAGAGTGGGATGTTTACCTGTTGACCCCAGCCTGGGTACTGGAGTATTCTGAACCTATGCTAAGGGGCAGCAGGTAAGTAGGGTTTTGACTGGTGTCTGTATGCAAGTTTCCCGGAAGGGCTGGACTGCTGGTTTGGAAAGGTGCCTGCACTGGTGAATGCTGGTGTTGTTGAGGTGGGGACAGATACTTGTGGAGAACAAGAGGTCTGCTGGGAGGCTGTGCTGAGTCTGCTCTGGGACAATATATGGAGGCAGCTGTGAAGGGGAGGCCGCAGTGGCACATCTGGCAGATGAGCACAGACTGGCTAAAGCCTAGTTGTAGAAAGGGCCAGCTGTAACCTGGCATCTTGGACTACTTGTTCTTGACAGGAAATGACAGTGCTTTAAAAACAGGGAACTTGGAGAGGGACCGTCACTGAAG